GATCGAAAGCTGTTCGGGCAAATTTTTGACCATCAATGCTTCTCGATGTATGCAGCAATGTGTAATTTGTATTGACGGATTTTTTTGTTTTACACAAGATACAAAACCTTTCTTACTGCCCATCATTGCAGCAGCACCATATGTACAAATAGCAACGCAATTGGTCCACTGAATATTATGTATTTTAAAAAAATTATCAGTTACTTGGAAAATTTGTTCACCGGTAGTTCTCTCTGGAACCTCCTTACAAAATAAATAATGTTCTTTAATAGAGTCCTCGTCAACGAAACGTACAATAGCCATCAGTTGTGCTTTATTTTTAATATCGGTTGATTCGTCGATTTGAAGCGCAAAAATTCCAGCCGAAATGATTTTTTTAATTAGTGTTCCCAAAATATCACTTGACATATCTTGGATACGTCTTTTAACAGTATCGGCCGACAAAGAAACTTTACTCACGTCCTTAACTTCGTTTGGCCCAAGCATAAGTCTAACAATTTCCATGCATGCTGGTTTAATAAGCGTTTCACCGATAGTGTGCGGTTTTTTTTGTTGTGCAATTAATTTTGCAACAAGGTAGCTTGCTTCTAATGCCTTTTCAGAAACCGTAACCGCCGATTTCATAAACTGCTTTTGTTTCTTATTTTGATCCAAGCGCCGTTGGAAAAATTGAATGTCTTTTTTGACACAATTGGGATGATTTGTGATCAAATGACGGTTTAGTTTGCTGGGTACCATTGCTTCATTTGACAACTGTTCACCGCAAATGACGCATTCAGGCTTTGGAGCCGCTTCGTCGCCACACCAAGTGAAACCATATCGAATGTAGTCTTGATTGTACTTCCTTTTCAGCACCTTTTTTGCTCTTTTTGCAGCACTTATGCTGGAGCTTGTGCTAGGTTCTTCGTCATCTGCTCGTGATTTCAGCAAAAATTTATCCATATTTGATGCACTATAGTTATTTATAAAAGTAGATACTGCAACAAAACTTAGTCCAGTTCACTTATTTATAAGGCACAAGAATTTATTTATATAGCAATTCACTATTTATTTCACTCTACGATTTATTTGTTTGCCCGCGTATTTATCTGATTCACTTGACTATTCGACTCTCTCTGAGTCTCTGAGCGACGACAGGCGCGCTTATATAGGCAGTGGCGATGTTCAGGAAAACATCGAGTCGCGCCTCGAACGGCACGGACCTTTCTAGTTTAGTCGCCTTCGAGAATCAAGCCGCCGCGCCGCGCCGATAGACGGATAGACGTTTACCATCGGCGCTGTTGTCAGATTGCTTTATTTTTCGCGGGTCTCGCTACAATACGAATCTGATTCGTATTGTCTGCAAGAGCGGCACACCTCAAGTCGGCTTACGGCACACCAGTGTGCCGCGGCACACCGGTTGCGGAGCACTGGGTTAGAGCATCAACTTTGCAATTTGAGACCGTCCAACGACCGCGATCGAATCCTGGCTGTGCCAGATTTTTTTTTTTTATTTTTTTTTATTTGTTTAGAAATTATGAAAATTTAATAAATACGATTATTGTTGATTATTTTTTTAAATACATTTTAATTATTATAATAATCTGGTTTTACATTTTTTGATGAAATTGTTTTGTGGTCGTAGGAAAAATATTGTACATCACTTGTGTGAAAAGTGATTTTCCACACTCGTAATGTAATATACTATTTCGTAATCTAAAGTCCCGAAAAAGTTAAATTTCTAAATTTTCACAATTATAATACTTCCCTTTTATCGAGGGAAGTAGAAATAAAATAAGTATACCCAATCTCTTAAATGCTCCTCTACTTAGTTTTTTTGTATGTTGCCGGCTGGCTTTAAAGTCACACTATATCTCTTGCTCGTACTATAACTACTTGTTATTTATTTTTTGTATAAAGTTAAATAATTGTAGACTCAAAAACTCACCCCGCTATGAAATAAATAAATAAATAAATAAATAAACTGTCTTCACTAAAATCGCGATCAGTCCATATTCAGCTTTAATTCCGGAAAAACAACTGCTTCTGTCCGTTTTTCCAATTAACTAACACTTAAAAAGCATACGACAATTATTGTTATAAATTTCCAACTGTTTAATATAGTCATTAGATAAGTGTAATAAAAATATTATTCGAAGAATAAATAATTTTTTCGATTTAATCTTTATAACTCGTTTCCAGATGATTTACATGTAACATTATCGAATTACTTTTGGTTTAGGAAATGAATTTCGTCATTTGAAATATCTTATCTTAAGTAACTAACTACATTTGTTATTACATTAAAAATATTAGTAAAACATATAATTTAATCTCTATTAAAATAAGGACGCGTTCTTTATTATTTATTTTAAAGTTTATTATTTAATTTATTTACACTATATTTACTAATTTATTTATAATTTAATCTACTTAATATAACACTAATTTTATATCAAATACTTATTTTCTAATTATATATGACTATATAATATATTTTAACACATCAATTTCTAACTATAAACGTGGCCTTTTTATAAAGAATAGTAGAGTTTCTCGAATGTTCTCGCATTCACCTAAACATACGTTGCCGGACCTACCATATTATAGACTGGTACTTTCGGTAAATTCTAGAATATCCATCAATTATAGAAGTCATTCGGTTAACGTGAAAATTTAAAAAGTGATTAATAGACCTGCGAGAAAGAAAGAAGGTTGAATTGATAGAAGACAATGAAAGACACGATAAAAAAACCTATTACAAGTAGCATAAGGAGACATGGATGAGCACAATTGCGATGCGATGCGAAGAACAAGAGAAAGAAAAATGGGAACAGAAAATCCTATCGAATGAAGTGTTACAGATATAAATGGAGGAAGTGAGTAAAATGGGAAACAAAATGGAAAAATTCGGATAGATTAGAAGAAGACTAAGAGAATGATAAAACAGAAATTATTGATATGATAATACACAAGATAAAAAAGAAATAATTCAGAAAATAAAAGAAATGATAGACATAAATAGGGAAGAAGCAAAGAAAATAAAAAAGAAAGATATAAATTAACAAAAAAATAAAAAAATGTTTAGAGTTAAATAAAGAAAAATTAGATATTGAAGTTGAAATAAACATAGAAATTGAAGAAGTAAATGCAAAAGTAGAAGACATAAAGATTGAAAATGAAGAAGAAGAAGAAGAAGAAAAACAGATACAAAATGTAGAAAAAGAAGTAAATATGAAGGAAAGAAAGTAAAAGAAAATTAATCACTGATGTTTCGAAGAAAAAATTAAAGAAGAAAATGGAAGAAAGCAGAAAATTAAGTAAACAGGAAAACAAGATAGAGAAAAAAATATAGAATTAAGAAGATGAAATTTAATGCAATTGTGAAATATTTGTGTAAACATAAATATTTTCGGCATGACGAGTGGATATGGTTATATCGCACGAAGAGGAAATTTGAGCACGACGTCTGAGTGCGATGTGGACAATCCACCCGAGTTGTACAGAATATTTTTTTTACTACGCGCTAACGAAAATCTACAAATAGTAATAATTGAAGACGCAAGTGGATAAAAGTGGCATGTCATATGTTTTTTGAAAAATGATTTTTTATGGCCTAATAATATACTTAAAATATATTATATTTTTGTGATAGTTCTGATTTATAATTTAGATAAGTAATGGCTATTCATCAGATAGGAAGGTATGATCAGCCATATATCATAATGCAATTGTAAAACTTTACACTTGTTTTTCTAGAAATAATCTTTTTGTGAAATGACACCTTTATCCACACGTGTCTTTAATTATTTTAGGTTATTTAGATAAAATAACTAATTTAAACATAATTTATGACTTTTACTAATTCATAAAATAAACAAGAAAAACTGGAGAAAAAGATTTAATTTATTTGTCCGTATCCCAGTCCTGCTGTACATTTGGAAAATGGCCAAAGATTTTTTTTAACAAGGACAATATAGTTGATAAGATTAAGAGCAATCCGAAAACAATACTTATGGCTTTTTTGATCTCTGTAAAGTAGATGATTTTGCAAAAACTCTATTATATTGAGAAGTTCCGGCTTATTATATCTGTTAAAACCACCAGTTTTGTAGGAGAAAACAAGGACAGATTGTTCCAGGTTACATGGGAATAAAAAGAGATAATGTTTTAGGTTGAGTTTATACTATCCATCCCGGCAATGCTAAATGCTATTACCTACGCCTTCTTTTGCATGAGGTTCGTAGTCCAGAGTCATTTAGAAGAAGCCTCAATTTGTGATTCTCCTCATAAAATTCGTGAATTGTTTACTATCATGTTAGTTTTCTGTCAAGTTGGAGATCCAATTAAATTGTGGGAAAAATACCGAGACACTTTTGCGGAAGACATTAGAAGACAAATGAGCAGAGAACAAGAAAACGTTAAGTTGTTTCTTGACATTATTTATAATCAATGCCTAATTCTTCTTGAAGATATGGTCATTGCTATGTCAGGTAAAACTTTGTCACAATTTGGACTCATTTCACCATCACGAGAACAATGAACTGTTATTAACAACCATCAATATCTAAGTGAATTGGCTTACGACACAGATCAGCTTACCGAAGAAGTTGCAGTAAACGTTTTAAAACTAAATATAGAACAGAAAGAAGCCTACGAGAAAATATTAAATAGTGTTACTTCTAACTGTGGGAAATTATTCTTTCTTGACGCTCCTGGTGGGACTGGAAAAACATTCTTAATACCTTTGTTGCTTGCAAAAATTAGAAGTGAACAAAGTATCGCTATCGCTGTTGCTTTTTCTGGAATTGCAGCTATCTTAATCGACGGAAGCTTTTAAATTACCTCTAAACATGAATTATTCGGATAATACTCTTTGTAACATCTCTAAGCAGAGTGATATGGCACATGTCCTTAGAGAAGCAAAACTAATTATATGGAATAAATGCACTATGGCTCACAAGAATTCTATTGAGGCTCTTAACAGAACGCTCAAGAATATAAAAAGTTGTAACCAAATTATGGGTAAAATAACTGTTCTTTTGGCTGGTGACTTCAGACAATCATTGCCTGTTGTGCCACGAGGTACCCGTGCAGATGAGGTCAAAGCCTGTCTAAAACCATCAATTTTGTGGCCCCATATCAGCGTGCTATCTTTAAGACTTAATATGCGCGTTCATCTGCAACATGATTCGAGAGCAGAAGAATTTTCTAAGCTACTACTTAATATAGGTGACGGACAGATTTCGCAAGTTGAAGGTAGAATACATATTCCGGATAGCCTTAATATTGTTGGGGATTTAATCACCTTGATTGATAAAATATACCCAAATATCCATCAGATTGAAGTTGGTTGCACTTCGTGGTTAACAGAAGGAGCAATTCTCGCTGCAACAAATGACTCCGCAACAACTTTATTTTAGTGAAGCTACCAACTGACCATGTAAAGTATGAATCTGTGGATACAGTAGTAGAATTAGACGATGCTGTTCATTATCCTGTAGAGTTTTTGCATAAACTGAATCCACCCGGAATACCACCTCATATTCTTAATTTTAAAATTGGAGCACCAATAATGCTACTGCGCAATTTGAATCCTCCAAAACTATGTAATGGCACCAGATTTCAAGTTAAAAGTCTGCATAAAAATGTTATTGAAGCTGCAATTTTAACAGGAAAATATACAGGTGAAGTTGTATTCATTCCGAGGATTTCTCTTATTTCAACATATTACCATTTTGAGTTCAAACGTTTTCAATATCCTGTTAGAGTTTGTTATGCCATGACTATCAATAAAGCGCAAGGGTTTGAGAATGGCTGGTGTGGATCTGAGAAGTGATTGTTTTTTCTCATGGTCAGTTTTACGTGGCGTGTTTAAGAGTTAGTTCACTGGACAACTTGGTCAGAGATACTGATAGTTTATAATTTAAATTAATAAAAAAACAAATTGTTGTAAAAAATTAAAATTGTGTTAATTATTTACAAAAATTGCCATTGTTTAAAATTGAGAATAATATAATTTTATTACCTTGAATATTGGAAATTATTTGCATTATCTAACCCTTTTTATTCATATCACACGACTAGGTTTCAAAATCAAATTTTATCAAGTGCCCAGTGAAGCGGGCGGGTATCAGCTAGTTAGATATGAAGATATGATTCATTAACAACGTGAGAAATAGCCATGGGCTTTTAAAAATCAATACACGTGTTATTTCAATTTTTCTTTTGCTATTTTTCTAACAGAAAATATTACTGATTGTTAAATAAATGGCTATTTAACTCGTTGCAAAATGTTGCGTGTTATGATCTTTCCGTTTTGATGACTACAATTTCATATAAATTACTGATATAAAAACTTTAACGAACTGTGTAAAAGATTTGTTCTATACTCACATACTAATTACATCTTACACGTAATTAAAGAGCTATAACTATAATTTTTCGAATTAAATTGGAATTCAGCCGGAATGGCGTGATTAAATAGATGACTAAAAGGAATTAATAAATAATAAAAACCAATTGGTAATTGTAGAGGTGTTTAGGTTGGGTCTAGTCATACTTGTTTGATTATTTACTAACCTTCAAAGTAACATTAAATTTAAAAACTAATTTAAATTTAGAAAAAAAAAATATTATGGCTAAAATATAATAGTATATAAACAAAGCTGTCGCTTTGTAGTTGACGTTAGAAGATCTGCGAACCATATCACTTGTATTCTTTCATTCAAGGGTAGCTCCAGGACATATTCATTAGACATTACCTTTTTAGAATATATTTTCTTAATAAAAGGCTTATGGATTTTAATAATTTTTAAATCTCGGAGGTGCCATGGCCTCCATGGATCCCCCTTTGGAGCCACCATTGCTTACACCATGCATATGCTCACATTTTCGAAAAGTCCTACATTTCTTAACTATTCTGATACTACCTACTCGTGACTGAGTAAATTACCGATGACGTTCATCGGCTTTTGTACAAAAGAGTCTAAATATATATTTTTTATGACAATCACTAATCGGGATATGACATTATCACTAGTTTTATTCAAACGAGGACATCATTATTTAATATGCAGTACCAATTAAAAGAGCACGTTATTGACCAAAAATTTCAAGATAAAAATTCATATAAAATAAACTTATAGTTTATTTGAAAATCCATAATAGCACATAATTTATGACAAATGTTTATCTATATACAGGATTGTTCAAAGCAGAAAAAAGTAGATATTGATACCGCCTTATCTGAATTTTCACCAGATTTAGTATGAACACCCCGAAAAATCTTGAATACAATACATCATAAAATGTAAATGAGCAAACACTAAGAGATTTACCAATAATTCTATACCTCAGTGACAGGAAATACGAAATTAATTTAATATAAAAAATAGTAAACTCTCAAATTAAGTACCCACATTTATTTTTATAAAAAAAATATACTAGATATTAAGTTAAGACCATTCCTTAAAATTTAATAATAAATATACACACAAACAAATTTATATGATATACCAAAATAATTATTTGCAAAAAAAATATTTTGTCATAAAACACTAATATTTCGTTTGTTTTTCAGGTTCTAGCGTCATATAAACTTACTGCCACAAGCCTATGATGATACTGGTAAGTTGAACCATTCTAACCATTCTAAAAATATACAGTGTGTCTACTTAAGTTGGAACCATATGGAAAACATTTTTATTATTGATTTTAGGAAAAACAGTTATTCTTGATAAAAAGTCCTGCATGACCCAAAACTTAAAATACAGTCATCAGATATCAAATTTTTCAAGCCGTATACGAGGTTTGTCAAAAAATTTTGCTCAAGAGTAAAGTACATTTATTTTTTTACAAAATCGAAAATTTTCATTAAGAAATTTGCTAAATTCTTTACAAACATCAACAAAAGGAAAGCGTATCATGTTTATAGTAGCTAACGTAATTTATAACGTTTTCAGATATTTACAATCAATGTGTAGAGTGTAGAGTTTATAAAAATAAGAAAATCTGTTTTTTCAGATAGATCGGTGTAATTGCATATTTGAATGTAATATTCAATACTAATCAACTTTTCTTAATGAAAATTTTCGATTTTGTCAAAAGTGTCAATAGTGATGACCTACTCGATATTCAATTATTACATTATCAGAGGAAGACATATCTAAATCTCTTAAATAACTAAAACCACGAAAGACCTAGCTTAATCATTAGAGAATGTTCTGAGGTATTAAAAAAAAAACCCATCATACATCTTTAACTTATGTCTAAAATATTGCTCTTCCCTACTAGGTGGAAAATCCGAATATTGTTGATAATTATAGGCCAATTTGCCAAGTGTTAGGATTTTCGAAAGTCTTTGTTAAAAGATGTCTGTGTATGATAAGATTTTTCCACAAGTAAAATTTTTAATTCATCCTTCCCAAATCGGTTTCTTTGGTTGAGTACCATCACTAATTTTATACTACCACATTAGACCATCATCAGATTTCTCAAAGGCTTTTGAGCGCTTAGACCACTTAATATTGGCAAAAAAATTAGTAAGTCTTTAAGGGAAGACTGCAGTACGTTGAGTTGAATGGCCTTAAATCGGTTCTATTCGAAGCTACAAGTGGGGCTCCACAGGGAAGTAATCTTGCTCCCTTGTTATTTTCGCTATTTATCAACGATATTGTTTCTGTTCTCAAATGTAATACACTTTTATTTGCGATGATCTAAAATATTTAAAATCATTACTTGCAATGCCGATTGCCATCAGCTGTAAGATGATTTATTTGCCCTCAAACAATGGTGTAATGAAAACAGATTACCACTTAATGTAAAAAAATGTAAGGTGGTCATATTCCTTAAAGTACGATTTATTATCTATAACTATCAAATTCAATCTATGTCACTTTCTCGCGTCTCAAATTTCAAAAATATGGGAATTACATTCGATTCCAAAATGTATTTAAACTCACATATTGCAGCCATTTCTGCTGGGATTCATATATCGCTCCTGCAATAAGTTTAAAATTACTACTACAACTAAATTACTATACTTCTATTATATAAGGTCCAAATTAGAGTATGGATGTCCAATCTGGAATTTTTATTATTAGGCTTATCTTTAAGATTTAGAAAAAGTATAGCATAAATTTATCAAATATATGGCTTTTAAGATGGAGTGAATCCTACCCGTAAATTCGATTACACTCGGTTACTTCCAAGGTCCAACTTACCAACTTGCAAGGATAGACGAGTTTATATATCTCTAATTTTTTTGTACAAGTTGATTAATTATATGATTGATTGTTCTGATTTATTATACCAATTAAATTTTCATGTTCCCTTAAATACTAGATCCAAAAATATTTTCAACCTACCCACTGTAAGTACTAATATCATCTTAAAATCGCCTTTACTTATCGTGTGTAGAGAATTAAACAAAATTAGTCCAAGTGTGATCACGAACAATCAATGAATGTCGAAAACAATTTGTCAACCTATTCGAAAATATTTTTACAAACTATGGTAGTAGATACTGGCTCTGAAAAATCGTATATAATGAAATTGATGGCAGATTAGATGCAATCCGAGCCAATTAAAAACAAAACAATAATTCATTCTTTGTTTGGAGGTAGAAATACCCAAGAAGTAAACCAGTTCTGTTATCGCATAAGAGTTAGTAATCTAGAAAAGACTTATAGTTGTAATTTTGTGGCTCTAGACCAGTTAACTATCTGCAGTAATGTAACTTTAGTTAAACCACGTCCATGGATGGACAAACAGATTGAAACAGGTATCTACATAACAGATGTATGTGATGGTCCGATCGATGGCCTAATTGGAGCGGATATAGCAGGTAAGCTATACGGGGCAGAAGCATGAGCTGAAGTGTGGACTAGTCGCCTTGTAAACTCTTCTAGCTTGGATGGTTCTAGGCAAGACTACCTTACCTTCAGAAGAAAGTAAATTACCTTTTAGAATAGCTGTAACCTCATCGATGTTTAATAAAGATGTGACTATATCCGATTTATAGGATCTAGATGTTCTTGGTATTACTGAGCCTTCAGAGGCCAAGATAAAAAAGGAAAAGGAGGAAAGCATTATAAATTATTTTTTAGAAACTGTACATATTTTAGAATACGGAAGATATGAAGTAAGCATGCCTTGGATAGAAGGACACTGCTTTACCCAAAAATTTTGACTTCTCCTTGCGAAGATTAGAAAATTTAAAGAAAAAACTTTATAAGGAAGGATAATGTAAGAGATATGAAAAAGTTTTCAATGAATGGTTGGCAGAAGATATAAAAGAAGTACCCCATAGACTCGTAGTGAAGAGAGCAGTGAGACTACAAAAATCAAACCTGTATTTAAAGCTTTACCTAAAACAAAGGCCATCTATCGTTAAACCAATGCATAGAAAAAAGCATAAACC